TTGTGCAAGCCTCCGCGATGACCCTGTGACCCCGCAGATGACTATGTTTGCGGATGATGAACACCTAGGCTGGATAGTGCAGCGATCCTCACATCTGAGTGTTGCTGTAGGCCAACTATGCAAACTTCTGTCTCTTCTGAGAAAGTACGGACTTCAAGCCAATGCCTCCAAAAGCAAATGCATCTTAGCTATTCGTGGCAGTGGAGCCGAGAAAGCAAGGAGTCAGCACACGGTATGGGTGGAGAATGCGGAGGGCAAGCCAGAGTTACGATTAAGGCTGCCAGGCTATCATAAGCGAGATGGCCCACCTATTGTGAAGACACTGGATTACATGGGTATCGTGCTGTGCTACTCCTCCTACGAGGAGCTTACCATGACCAAGCGACTGGGGGTGGCGCAGGGCAGCTTTGACCGCCTCCGCAAAATCTTGCACAATCGACGGGTTCTCACCATACCACAGCGACTCAAGCTTTGGCAAACCATTGTATTACCTGCTGCCACATATGGTTTATTGATTACGGGGCTCACCAATGTGAGCATGGAACGCTTTCATGGCATGATGCTTCGTCACATACGCTCTATCTCGAACAGTCCACTGCACATTCATAGAGAGTCCAACTGGGACTTGGGGGTAAGACTTGGCATAGATCTCCCTGTACATTACCTCAAGAAGCTGTGCACAGGTCGAATCCAGAAGCTTGCACACCAATTGCAGCATTCGTCGGATGCCATGATGAATCACTTCACTTTGGACCAGATGCTCAAGCGCACTGCAGGCCAGCTGACTCAGCTGGAGCTGAAGTACCAACCGAGCCAATCTGGGGCCACACCCTCAGCAGGCCTTTCAGGGGAGTCTTTTAAGTGCAAAGAGTGTGACAGGACCTTCACCACGCAGGCCTCTTTGCGGCAGCATGTCAGCAAGGTGCACACCGGAAAGAAAAAGACCACTATTTTGCTTTCGGATGAGAATGCGGAGTGCCGCCAACATGCAAAAGACGGCATGCCTATCTGTAAGCACTGTGGTGAAGAGTTTCGGCGCTGGAGTGGCCTGAAGCGCCATATTACACTTGATCGCTGCAGCGTTTATCGGTTGCAGTCAGCAGAGGGTCGAGGAGCTCAGTCAGGTGACGCACAGGCTGGGGCGGAGCCATCACACCAGCCACCAGTGGTTTCTCAAGCCGAGTTTCAAAAAGAATTCACTGCAGGTGGTCTACAGGCGCTCGCTCGGCACACGCACGTAGTTGAGGAGCTGCGTCAACACTGTGGAATCTGTAGACAATGGCTTGCAAAAATGCAGGATTGCAAATCGCATTACAAAAAATCTCATAAGGACTTGTGGACTCGATACGGGTCTCGAGCTGAGAAGCTTGTGCCTCCCGAATCACTATCGCAGACTTGCCGCTTCTGTTTGACTACAACAAGTCATCATACCAAGCATGTATGCACAGTTCAGCTCCAGGCACGCCTCACCAACTTGATCTACCATGACGTTCGAGATGGAGGCCGATCTGCCACCACCCTCCCAGAGCGAGCTTCAGATGTATGGAGCGTTTTGGGGGCCATCGAAACGCAAGGAAGAACCCAACCACACGGAGGCCGAGGAACAGACGCAGAACAAACATCCCAAACTGCAGATCGACGCCAAGTCCTCGGCACCGGCACCGAAGAGATCAGCCAAACCAGGCAAGGGACAGGGACACAATGCTCAGAAGGATCGCTCAAAGCCGAGCGCAGGGCACAATCCCAAGATGGACCAGATGTTCATCATGATGGTGCGACTTCTTTTGCGCCACGAAGACGCCCTTGCCCTGAGCAGGGCGGACCAGGGATATTGCCTTTTCCTTCGCACGGCGGAGACGCCCGGAGACCATCGTACGCCCCCGGTTCCTCACAGCGCAGGAGTGGAAACGGCAACGCCAAGACGCACCAACGGACAGGAGGCAGCCGCTGAGAGTCATCTTGCTCAGCCTGGTCATACAGGAGCTGTGCGATCGCATCCAAAAGATCGTAAACGACCCCGACCTCCTCGAGCAGGCCAAGGCAAATCAGATGGTGGTCCTTCAACAGGACAAACCATACTGGAACTACTTGGGGTACGACGTGAGGAACAACAAGGAAACGGTGGATGCGGACACATCCCCGATGGAGCACGATCGAGTGGTGCGGCGCCTTCAAGATCTACGCCAGAGCTGCACCGCGGACATGATCCTGCGCTTCCACAGTCACCGACCTCTGGAGGAGAAGATGGACAAGGACGTAGTGTTGATGGTCTTGGAGGTGTCAGCCACCAGCAAGGACGCTCACATTATGCACTCACAACTCCGCGACCTGTGTCACAATGCAGTCTTCAAGCTCATAGGTGGCAGACTACGCAGAGAGCGGATTCAGCGCTCCCCACTGGCCATCAAGTTGGCGGAGCTCCTGGACTGACGAGGCTTCACAACCTGGTATTGGTTAACCAAGCACAGAGATGCTATCAAAACTCAGTGTTTCTGGCTCTTGCTCACTCTCACCAACTTATCGATGCCACATTGCCAGAGCCTTATTCTCAGATTCTCGAGTCTGCGCTCAATTGTGAAAGGACTGACCTGATGAACAACCCTGACTGGGCAACACAGATGACGGACTGGCAGGAACCTCATCGACAGCATGATGCAGCAGAGTTCTTGATGTATGTTCTCGGTAGGACACATTTTCCTGCGCATGATGGGCAATGGGCAGTTTTTAGAGGACATCGGCATCTTGATGATTCCAGTCTGCAGACATCGCCACTTATACTCAATATAGGTAGACACAAGACTATACAAGCCATGATACAAGCATGGCACCAGGATGAGGCGACAAGCCGTTACATCACCGCCGGGCCCCGAATTATAGTCATACAGTTGACGCGATTTCTGGTACAGCAGGGCAGGATTCGCAAATCCACTGCGAAGGTGCCGATCCCAGATACAGTGCATATTCCCACACGGACCGGTGATGGCGCGGCCGTCCTATCTTATCGCGTAGTGGGAGGCATATATCACCTGGGACCCCGTGCGCAGGTTGGTCATTATCGGACTTTCCAGCTGGAGCGTACCGAGGCCTCTGAGCTCAGAATGTGGGTTACGGATGATGGACGAGTGCCTGCGCTAGCCACGCCTGCTGATGAGGCCACTGTGAGGATGAATGCATATCTTCTTTTCTGCACGGTGGCGGAGGGTTAAATTTTGCATAATGTTAGTTTGGATTTTTTGATGTTGGGTTGTCTTTCGGTATGTTTGCTCATCGAGCTTTCAATCCTCCTATCGCCACAAGGTGCACTCATGAAGGAGAGTAGAGCAGGCCACAATTGATTCGTTGTTGTTAGCAACGTTTTTTACCGGGTTTGTTTGTTTACGCATCCTTTACTTGATCCCATGGTCTCTGGCCGTGATCATACCTGCGGGCGCTCTCCTTCTTTTTTTCCAGCACAGACCACAGCAATAACGGTGTTGAACGGTCTATCTTTTGATGTTTGGGTCGCTAGAGGTAGTTGGGTTGTCACCGCTTGTTTTTTCACATATCTCTCAGAGGTCTGTAGCATGCACAGATTAATTAGGTACCAAGGTCTCGGGCTGGCGCATGCAAATGTTTGTTCTTTCAGTTGCCCTTACTCTGCTGGGTCTTCGGACCGGGAGCGCCATCCTGAGCGCGTGCTGGGTTTACGAACCGGCGTGCTCTTTTGCTGTAGTAACTTGAAACACCAGTCGGGGATGGTAGGGTTAACTTACATGTGTTACCCTGTTCTTTCTTTCCCTCTAGCCCAAACTACTCCCGTCTGAAGTTTCAAGTAGGGAGCTTTTAAAACGCGGCTTTAAAGCTGCCGGTCCTAGGACTGTCCCTACCGACACGCAAGTGCGTCCTCGCACCGCGCCCGCAAAGTGACAAAAAGT